TCAGCATTATCTTTCTGAGAGCAACTATTTTCTAGGTTTTGTAACTAAGTACACTTTTGACACTTAAAGCATGTTTTTGGCTTGGTTGCAGCTAAATTGGAAGCTTGGAGCTTTATGTCACAAAAAGCAGCCATTTAGTTTATCGTTGGAAAACACACTGCTTTGAAGTTTATAGCACCGAAAATATCTTTTGGTTAGTTGGCAACGAAATTGAGCTTCTTTTGAACCTTTTCCTCTTCTTTCGTGAGGAAATCACACATTTGACGCTCTATATTGCCGAAAAATGTTTTGGTTTGTTGGCAACTAAATTAGGTTGCTTTGAGCCTTATGTCACAGAAAACAGCGTTTCTCCATTCCTTTTTTTTAAATACCCTGCGTTTAACTTTATTGCAGGAAAGGTCTGTTTGCCGTAAAACTGGGCTGTTCCAAGCGTCATTAGAACAGAAACGGTTTTCTCCCAGTAAACAGCGAGTAACGCTGAATTTTACTTGAATTTACTCAAAACAACGTTTTCGTCTCCTCCCAGCTAGGTTATGCTCTTTTCAACAGTTTCTGAGAAGAGGATTTTCTTTTCTTTCGTACCAAAACTGCATTTTTGACCTTTTATCTTACCGAAACCATCTTTTGGTTTGGTTCCAACTAAATTGGAAGCTTCGAGCTTTATGTCACAAAAAGCAGCAATTTAGTTTCGCGACAAAACACGCTGTTAAAAGTTTCATAGGACGGAAAATATATTTTGGTTTGTTTGGCGTCAAATTGGGCTCTCTCCAGCGTTATTGCACCGGTAAAAAGATTTTTTTTCATTTTTATAGCTAGTGACCCTGATTGTTACTTGATTGCCCTCAAAACAACGTTTTAGCCTGTTTTTGGCTAAGTTAGGCTGTCTTCAGCGTTAGCTTTCTTAGAACAACCTTTGCCACGTTTCCCTACATGAAATACGTTTTTGACGCTGTAACTTATGGAAAACATGTCTTGGTGTGTTTGCAGTTGGGGCTGGTTTGAGTTTCTTCCCACATAAAAAGAGCGTTTTTGCGTGTATGTCCAAAATAACCTACTTTCAGCATTGTTGCAGAAAAAACATGTTTTGGATATGTTTGGCGTAAAATTGTGTTGTTTTCAGGTTTCCTTCCAGTTAGCAGCATTACGTTTCGTTAAACGCGCAGTTTAGTTACGAAATAAAAGGAAAAGGCGGTTCTTGCAAACACAATACTGAAAACAACGTAACTTACCCGAAAATAAACGGAAACGTTGTTTTTAGTGAAATCAAGTAAAAATCAATGTGACTCGCTGCAAACTGGCAGAAAACATTTTTCCCGTGCAATATCGCTGGAAACCGCCCAATTTTACGGAAAACAAACCAAAACATGTTTCTCCTGCAATAAAGCTAAACACAGCGTATTTTAAACACAGAAAGAAGGTAACGCTCTTTTTTGTGTCATAAGGATAAAGATAACCTAATTTAGTTGCCAACAGACCAAAACATTTTTTCGGTAATATAGTGTCCAAAGTGTAGTTTGGTCACGAAAACAGAGAAGAAGGTTGTCCTCGAAAAGACAATTCTGAAACAGGGTAACTTCGCCAAAAGAAAGGAAAACCTTTGTTTGAGTAAAATCAAGTGAAAATGAGAGTAAATCGCTGCATACTGGAAGAAAACCTTTTTTTGGTGCAATAACACTGAAAACAACCCACTATTACAGCAAGCAAACCAAAACATGTGTTTTGTCGTATAAAACTGAGTGCAACGTCTTTTAGCAATGACAAAGCAAAAACACTTTTTTTCTGATATAAAGGTCCAACAGCGCAATTTTTTTACCAACATAGAAAAACGTATTTTCGCTACTATAAGGCTCAAATAAGGGTATAAAGCAACGAAAAACGAAATCGCTGTTTTTTTGTACCAAAACATATTTTTTCTGCTATAAAGCTGAGTGGAACGTCTTTTAGCGACGAAAATGCAAAGACGCTGATTTTTGTCATATAAAAGCTCAATGAATCCCAATTTCGTTGTCGACTAACCTTCCTATGAAACTTAAACCAGCGTGTTCTCTCACGAAAAACTAAATCGCTGCTTTTTGTGACATAAAGTGCAGTTTAGGTACGAAAAAAAGGAAAAGCCTGTTGTCAGAAACATAATGCTCAAAACAGGGTAACTAAGCCAAAAGCAAACGAAACTTTTTTTTCAGTAAAATCAAGTAATAATTAGTGTAAACCTCTGCAAACTGGCAGATCCCCTTTTTTAGTTGTATTAACGCTGGTAACAGCCAATTTTTACCGCAAACAAACGAAAACATGTTTTTCCTGCAATAAGGCTAAAGCCAGAGTATTTTTAACACAAAATTGGAAAAACACTGCTTTTTGTGACATGAGGCTTAAAGCAACCTAATTTAGTTGCGAACAAACCAGAACATCTTTTTGGTAATATATACAGCATTCAAAATGTAGTTTGGTTACGAAAACAAAGGAAAAGGTTCTTCTCAGAAAGATGATTCTGAAACAGCGTAACCTAGCCAAAATTAAGTGAAAACGTTGTTTTGAGTAAAATCAAGTGAAACGCAGGGTGACTCGCTGCAAGCCAGAAAAAAACCTTTTCCCCTGAAATAACGCTGTAAACAACACAATTTTACGGCAAACAGACCAAAAGATCTAAAACAGGCTAAACGTTGTTTTGAGTGCTCTCAAGTAAAAATCAAAGTCATTCGTAAAAAACTGGAAAAGAAATCCATTTACCGGTGCAATAACGCTGAAGAAAGCCCAATTTCACGGTAAACACAGCAAAATTTGTTTTTTCGTGCAATAAAACTGAAAACTTCATATTTCTTCAGGGTTAGGGTTAGGGTTAGGGTTTGGTTTGGTTAGATTTGGCTAACTCTTCGTGTTTGTAGAATCTTTTTATTTGCAGATATGGAGCTAGAACTGGGGACTGAACAAGAGATAAGAACTAGATTAGATGGAGGTTACGAACAGATTTCCGGAAGTTCTAGAATCCTGGAGAGGTGAAAAGAAATACAGGGGACTTCTAAGATAGATATGGCTCGTTCCGTAGTAGTGGTAGAGGCAGGACAGACTCTTGTTCGAGTGGTCAAGTTCTTCGAGAAAGTTGTCACCTTACGATCAAATCTCCCTGTTGCTGAATACCATACCGTCTGCAGTGTAAGTGGCAGTGCTACTCCTACCGAAATTGGCCGTAGTCCATCAGCACCTAACCATCCATACTGCTCAGTTATAGCCAGAAATATTGAGGATGATAAGCAGGAAAGTAAAATAGAAAATAGAAGGGCAAAAGTTATTCAGCTAAGTTCAGACGGGCTTTCAGAGGAGCAGGAAAGGCAATTTTCCATACTGATAGACCAATATGAGGGCATATTTGTAATTAACAATCGTGATTTAGGATAATTAGATCTTATGAAACATGACATTACCACTGGCGAGCATGCTCCCATTGAGCAGCTTCCTCGTCGCATACCCCTGCATCAGAGGGAGATCATAGATCAACAGCTGGACGAACCGATAGCGGATGGTAGAGTTGAGGAGTCACAGAGCCCCTGGAGCAGTCCGGTTCTTTTGGTAAGAAGACATGATGAAAGTTACCGTATGTGCATTGATTACCGCAAACTGAATTTGTCTACATAGAAAGATGCAATACCGTTACCGAGGACCGATAATGTCTTGGAAGCGCTGGCTGGTGGCCAATGGTTCTCCTGTCTGGATTTGGTGTCTGGGTATTGGCAGGTGTAACTAAAAGAAGTGGACAGACCCAAAACAGTATTCTCGACCCACCGTGGACAATTACATTGGAGGGTTATGCCTTTTGGACTCACGAATGGGGCAGCTAGTTTTACCAGATTGATGAATCTAGAACTCGGTGGACTGACCTCGACACACTGTCTTGCGTATTTGGATGATATTATCTGGGCCCTTTCCTTCGAGGAACATCTGAAACGCCTACGGTTATCATTTCACAGGATACAAACTGCTGCTCTTACACTGAACCCAACTTAGTGTCAGTTTTTAAAGAGAGAGGTTTCGTTCCTAGGGCATGTTGTCTCTTCAGATGGCATCAAAATTGACCCTGACAAGGTCGAGACTGTCAGAACGTGGCCACCCCCAGTAGACATCAAAGAGCTCCAAAGCCTCATTATCCTCGGAAATTACTATAGGCGGTTTATTTCTGGATTCTCGATCGTCGGAGAACCACTCTACGAATTGTCGAGGAAGGGTGTTTCTTTCCAGCGGCAGATGGAACAAGAAAGTGCCTTCAATGAACTTCGCTTGGCATATCCTGATTTTTGTCCTGATGCGATTATTCGTACTTGACACAGATGCCAGCCAACCCCTGGGCATTGGCACCGTCTTATCTCGATTGCAATCCAATGACACTCAGCGTGTGAAAGCTTATGGGAGTCGTTCTTTTAATGAGCAGGAAAAGAACTATTGCGGGACTCGATTAAAGATGCTAGCTCTGGTAAACTGTATGGACCATTTTCGCTATTACTTGGTGAAACAAAATTTGCGCCTTAGGACTGATAATCACTCATTTGTCTGGCTAATGTCTTTTAAAGAGCCTTAAGGGGAAGTGGTCCGTTGGGTAGGGCGCTTACAGTACGATTCTGAGATACAACGTCGCCCGGGGAGGTTACACAACAATGCAGACGCCTTGTCTAGAAGGCCCAGACGACAACATGGGAATTCTCCATCGTGTACTCCAACAGGATTATCTTAAGTTACGGTTGTTGCTAGAGACCTTCCGGTAGGTGAAACCCCAAGTGAAGTGAAAAATTCTTGGTCGGCAGAACTGGTTGCACAGGCTCAAAGAGATGATCCAGATATCAGCGTGGTACTTAGTCATTTGTTGAAAGAGTGGAGGAAACCAGCTGTTGAGGAACTTCACGTCAATTCGCTCTGCTGCTCGTGCTGTCTGGGCCCAGTTTGAACTGTTGTTGCTACAACAGGGGGTTCTCTATATAAAGTCAGCTGCCCACCCTAGTCAAGCTAAACTGAAGATGGTTGTACCGAAACAGTTAGTAGAGAAGGCCCTTGTCGAAGTTCACGATGGCGTTGGCTTTGCCCACCTTGGAGAAATGAAGAGTCTAATGAAGATAAAAGCTAGATTCCGGAGGCCTGCCACGACCAAAGAGGTGTATTGTTACTTCGATCAATGTCTGACATGTGCCAAGTGTAAGCCAAGGGCAAAACCCAGAGCACCACTGTGGTCATTTACCTCTGGCAACCCCATGCAACGCATCCATATTGACATTGTTGCTCCCTTGCCACGGTCTCGAAGAGGAAACCGCTACATTTTTACAGTTCAGTGCAGTTTTACTAAAGGGGCTGAGGTGTTTCCAATGTCCAACCAGCGTGCCACAACCTCTGCAAAGGTGCTTCTAAGGAACTGGATCTGCAGATTTGGTGTGCCTGAGAGCATTTATAGCCATGAAAGCCGTATTTTCGGGTCTAAAATATTCTCGGAAATCTGCCAGCTGCTGAGTATTAACAAAACACGCACCACCACGTATCACCCTGAGGGCAACGACCTGGTAGAAAATCTGCACAAAGCCTTAAGGAGCATGTTAAAAGCTATAGTTGAAGATAATCCAGCTACATGGGATGAGCACGTTGATTTCTGCGTGATGGCCTATCGCACAAGTGTTGATTCCTCCACGGGACACAATCAGTTCGAGCTCATGTTCGGTAGAGAGATGAGGATACCTTTGGATGTAATGGTTGGCGGTGCCGAAGACAATGAGTGTTCCTACACTGATTTCGTTGCTGTAGAACTGCACAAGTTGCACAATACTTAACTGCTTGAGGTAGCTCAAATGGTCAAACTAGCTACACGTTTTCAACTGCACAATGAATAGTTCCAATAGTTCAAATTCTCTAAGTGGCTTAATCTATTCGACTGGCCAAAAAAACCAAACCAGCGAAGACCGTTAATCTGACAGCAAAAAAATGCAAAATCTTTCTCGATTCGTTGAAGGAGTTCAACTTGTCAAATTTGCTCAAGTGGTCTAACTGCATAGGAGGCATAATTAGCTTCATAGGTTCAATCTTGAAATCTCTACAATGTAGCTGAATTGGTCGAAGTGGTTGAAATGGTCCAAGTAGCTCAATTGGTTCCACTGGTTTGGTCGTCAAACTAGTGAACAAAGTTACAGAATCTATCGTAATTCGTTGAAGTCGTTCAAATTGTGAAAGTAACTCATAATTCTTGAAACTGCACAGAAACTGCACAATCTAGCTGAATTGTTTCAAGTAGTTAAAATTGTCAACGTAGCCTCATCGATTCTACTGATTGAAAGGTCAAACCAGCAAAGACAATCACACTGCACAAATTGCTCATTCTCTATGAATCAGTTGAAGAAGGTTGAAGAAGTTCAAATGGTCAAACTGACTAATACGGGCTAATCACACATAATCATTGAAAAGTCAAACTAGTGTGGACAATCATACTCCAAAAATAGCACAATATATCTTAATTGGTTCACGTGGTTGAAATGGTCAAACTAGTTTAACTTGCTCAACTGCACAAACTGCAAGATTTAACTGAGTTTTTTTTCATGATAAATCAGCTCAATTGCTTCGACTATTGAAATAGTCAAAGTAGCGGAAACGGTTAAACCGCACAAATTGCACTCTCTATCTCGACTCGCTGAAGTAGGTGAAATGCTCGAACTAGCTTAAATGCTTCAACTGCACAATATGCACACTTAGCTTAACAGTTTGAACTGCAGAAACGGTACAATCTATCATACATGGATGGATTGGTTAATAGTCTAACTAGGGAAGACTTTGGAAACAAAAAAGTTAGAAATGTAAATGTAACTGTAAAAGTTAGAAATGCCAGGAAGGCTGAAGAGAGTACAAAAGGAAAGACGAGAAAGGGTGGAAGAAAAGGACAGACAAGAAAGGATGGAAGAGAAGGACAGACAGGAAAGGTGAAATTTGATATTACCGAGTATCTTAAGTTGGTATTTCCATTTCAGGAAGCAGATGCTGATAAGTGTTTCTTGCACTTTGAGAGAGTAGCTGGCAATCTTAAGTGGCCCACGGATAACAGGGTAATTCAGTTACAGAGTGTACTAGTCGGTATAGCAAGAAGAATTTAAACACAGTTAAGTGTACAGCAAGCTGCGAATTACACTGCTAATGATATTATTTTAAAGGGTTCTGAAATAGTTGCCGAGGCTCAGTGACCGTGAGAAAAATCAGTAGTCACTTATGTAGAATCTTCTAGAAGTAAGGAACAGTTATTTGATCGTTGGTGCCATTCACAGAGGGTAGATGAGAATCACGATAGGTTAATGACAGCTGGTTTAATAGAGGGGTCTAAGAGGTGCATTCACAGTGATGTCCGAACGTTTGTCGATGAGCAAAAAGTAAAAACCATTAGAGGAAAGAGCATGACTAGCAGATGAGCTTTGGTTGAGGCACAAAGTGAACCTCCTGGAAAAACATCATCAGCTTCACGCTTCACCCGCTAGAGTTCTGCCTCATTCGGTACCACGATGGCTTGCAAAGCCAGAGAAGTCGGCAGAATGACGGAGGACATCCCAAACAGAATCCTGCCAACAATTATGCGAATCTTTTCAGCCCCTCATGGTCAAGACAGAACAAGTTTGATCGAGGTAAGCCCATCAAGCCGCCCACATGTTACTATTCCAGAAAAGCTGGTGAGCTGATTTCTAGCTGCCCGGAAAAGTAGAGAGTGGCGCTTAAGCGCCATGGTTTTCTCGCTAAAACATTGCCTTTAACTGCTGTTGGTGACGATACACCCCCTCCCCAAGTTCTAAGAGAGAAGACTCAATCAAGCAAGTGCTGTGCGTGAAGTCATTGGCCCCTGCAAATATGTCATGGATCTTTGTCAGCCCTTCATCCACGATGGTTCAGTGCCATTGTCAACTGATACGTCCAACTCCATACCAATTAAGATTTTGACAGGCAGTTGAGCCTCACAGTCTCTATTGCTGAGTGACACTTGTGTTTTCTGAGAAGTCGTCCACTTGTGCGAGCGTTCTAATAAGAGGAATCAGTTCCAAGTTTACCCTGGTGCCACCGTATATAGTATACACCAGTATACACCAGTATACACCAGTATACACCAGTATACACCAGTATACACCAGTATACACCAGTATACACCAGTATACACCAGTATACACCAGTATACACCAGTATACACCAGTATACACCAGTATACACCAGTATACACCAGTATACACCAGTATACACCAGTATACACCAGTATACACCAGTATACACCAGTATACACCAGTATACACCAGTATACACCAGTAGTTGTCAATGCTATTGTCGCTGGCAAGTGCTGTTAAGAAAAGTCTCCAGAGCCAGTAGACAGGAGAATTCTCCGTCTGTACCCATAATGTGTCGTGACGCAAGCCAGAAGTAAGAAGTTAGAAAGCAGAGACAAAGAGGTAACATTAGCTGACACCGTCATCAGCCAGGTCCTTAAGGGTGAACAACCGAATCCCTCTTTCTCTCGGCCAGTATAAGTACTTTCTGAGAAAAGTTTAATGGAACAGGTCGAAAAGATGTCAACTACTTTTCAACTCATTGCAGAACAACACGAAGACTCGGAAGTCCCACTTATATTTTCAAGAAGTGTTAGTGAAACACAAGTATCTTATAACCCCACCTGTTACTTTACAAAGAATGGAGTGCTAATGAAAATGTGGAGACCACCTGATGTTCCTACAGAAGAGGAATGGGCTCTCCACTACTAGATGATTGTCCCAAAGACCTACAGACCGGACGTTTTAAGCACAGCGGATGAGACCCCCTTCCCTGGCCACCCGGGTGTCAACAAAACCTGCCAGAAGATCTTAGACCATTTCTACTGGCTCAGTCTGAGAAAAGTTGTGGCGCAATACTGCCAGTCGTTCACACCTGTTAGATGGCTGAGAAACCGAATCAGATCGTTCCAAAAGTACCGTTACAGCCATCACCAGCCCTTCAAGAGCCATTTAGCAGAAGAATCATTGTTGATTGTTCAGTGCCACTACCTAAGAAGAGGTCTGGACACCAGTATTTGATGACCATCATGTGTGCATCCAGTAGATTTCCTGAAGCTGTTTCCTTAAGAAATATCAGAGCAAAGGTCATAGTCAGAGCTTTGACCAAGCTCTGTACACCGGTAGGTCTCTCAAGTTCTATCCAGTCTGACCAAGGTCCCAATGTTGTCTGGCATATTTCAACACGTCATGCACGAGCTTGGAGTCACACAGTATTTGTCAACCGCATGTCAAAGTCAAAGTCAAAGATCTCTCGAAAGATGACACCAAACACTGAAGAACATGATGAGGATCTACAGTTTCGAAACGGAGGAAGATTAGAACGCGGGTAGCCACCTACGACTGTATGCTGCAGCTGAGGCAGTACAGGAGTCTCTAGGATTCAGTCCATTCGAGCTTGTATTTGAGCACACTCTGAGAGGACCTCTTAAACTGTTTAAAAAGAAGTTATTATCTAGCAGCACTGAGTTTATGAATCTCTTACAGTATGATTTAGATTTTGGCAGTAAGCGTTTTAGAGCTTGTGAGTTAGCTAATGCTAATCTTAGTTGTTTGGAGATGTCTTTGAAAGAGAAGTATGATGTAGATGCTGTAGAACGTGACCTCAAGTCAGGAGAAAAGGCTCTTGCATTCTTGTGAGTGCCTAGAAACAAACTTAATTGTAGATTTTTTGGTCCTTATGTCACTGAGAAGAAGGTAAATGACCTCAAGAGCTAATGTCCACATGCATCAGACAAACAGTGCAAGTCGCCCAAATTTGTTTTCTCTTCTACTCTCATATTTCGTAGCCCAATATCTCCTGATACTTGTGGTGCGGTTTTTTTGTGAAAATATATATTAGAGAAAAGAGTTTTTTCGTTGGACCGCTCAAATATGCAAATTTTTACCCTGAATATTACTCGAGTTGTGTGACCTCATGTACCGAGTTCGCTGGACCTCCGGTATTTCTGTCGGGATAATTCTTTGTCGTATGATTTGAAATTAGTCCCCGGTCATTATTGAAGCTGGCAAAGAACTATTTCTTTTTTGGTGAATATTTTTGTCCGACATACTTTTTATATGTCGAAAAATTGCATCAAAACAGAGACAGTTTTAACAATGACCGACACGACAGAACCTACTGAGCTTCTAGTTATAAAGATTTCCATTTGTATTTCTGTTGTTCTATCATATCAGCCATTTCCTAATTTTTTTTTGCGTGAAAACGTTTACTCAAATAGCCGGTTACAATCAAGAATTTTTGCTCCTGCCTTATAGCTGATGGTTTTGCTTTTTCTTTTGGACAACACAAGTCTGTTGAAAGGTCTCTAACTTTTAGGGTCCCCCCTTATTGGTCAAGAAATATATGTTATTTGCCGGCTGGGAGGTCCGTATGGTGAAAAACTGTGA